TAAAAAATGAGGCATTTAAATGACTTAACTGATAAATAACCACAAGTTAATTGAAGCATAACCATTTAATAGAAATAATGAAAATAGTACACATGCTATTGTGGAGGAATAGATTTCCATTTTTTCTTTATATTTGTGTTCAGTATGTTTTTACCAATTCCAAACTCATAAAACGAATGACGCAGTACAGTTAAGACAACATTTTCTATCAAAAGGCACCAAAAACGAGACACTTAAAGTTCAACCGTCTCATTTTTTAGCAGGAACCTCTATTTGAAATATCTTAATGGCATTTTGAAGAGTATGTTCATCGCTTTTCATATCGGTATTTTTTGTCATCATGTGACCCTATACAGTCACGTGGGATTCGATTTTGGGTCAAAATATGCAATGTCAAATTTAACCAAAAAGTGCAAGGGCAAGGCAAACAAAAATAAACTGCACAATGTTTCAGTGTGTCCCTTGATATCTATCCTATCTCAAAACTGATGCTCATTTAGTTAGATTTCTGATAAGTTATTCATTGAAAACAAACACCAGTAATAAAAAAAATAGGGTATTTTCATAATTTCATCGGAAATTATAAATTACCTAATGAAATACAAAGAAATGAGCATCACTTTTCAAAAACAATACAGTAAAAAAAAAAAAAAAGAATTTAAAATAAAAAGCTTGCCCTTGCACTTTTTGATTAAAAATTGAAATCTTGACACATTCATTCGAAATATAGTTTTCACACGCATCATTGACCCAGCATGGGAGATAACTCTCTAGTACTTCATAGAGTTTGTGTACCTCGCAAAGTTTAAACAAATAATACCTAAGGACTGTACTTGGCTTTTTTCACTAAATCAAAACGGTATCCCTAAAAAATCCTTGACTTTACTTTGTTTTGTATGTCTTCGTTCTTTTATACGCTACACAAGACGTCTTTGACACCTTCCGTATTTCTGCCGTGCACCAATGTGCACGGACCTCTGAATTTTCTCAATAAGCCGTTATATGATTGATCGCAGTAATATATATATATATATATATAGATAGAGAGAGAGAGAGAGAGAGAGAGAGAGAGAGAGAGAGAGAGAGAGAAAATAGAATTATTTTTTTTTCACATTCTCTGTGATTCTCGTAGTAGCTACCAAACCTTCTACTGTCCAGGGATTCTAGATTAGGTTAAAAGTTTTGTTGAACCAAGAGGAAGGGATTTGAGTGTTTACACCTGTAATTAATAACCTGTTTTCCTTTCTATAGATTCAACCCCCTAAACCACCACCAGTTTGCTTCTGGCTCCTTTGATACCATGTACAGTACTTGCATGTTAAAAATAAATTATTATACCGTGTTTACATCAGGTTTTACTTCTTTGGATACTTAAGCACAAGGGGGGGGGGGGGTAGTCTCCTTTTTTGAGTATCTATCAATCCATGCACACACAAGATAATCATATGAAAAACTTTGCAATCAAGAAACAAATTCTCTGTTAAAAAAATAAGTGAACACAATATACCTGCTGAAATATAGATATTTTTGGTAAACCAAACAACACAAACAACAAAATAAATGCACATTTTAACAGCCTTTTTTTTCTAGAAAATATATTTAATAAATACAGCTCTTCAAATTCAAAGGCAGGTTGTGAAGAACTTCTGAGCAGGTGCAAAATATTTCCGTTCATGTTTCCTTAGATGAAATAAATTCTGAAAACAAAATGAAATACCATTATGGAAAGTTCATTGGTGTTGAGAGACCTAGAAAGCATATTACATGTATATATTTTATTTCTTCTGTTTTTATTATCAAAATATTTCAAGAATCTTGCCTGGAATATGTATTATATGTTTATACATGTAGCTAATATGGAGCAGACCTGTAGAAATTATAACAGGGGGCTGGGGGGGGGGGGGCACCATACATTTCTAGTTTGGGGGGCACTATCAACTTCCAAAAATTCCTTCACAAACAAAAAAAAAATAAATAAAGGGATCATCAGCGTTTTATTATTGAGGGTGCACAAGCATATTGTAGCTATGCTTTTTATAGTATTCTATATGTCGGCAAAATTATTGGGAGACCCCCCCCCCAGGTTCCCACGGCCATGAGGAGCATACCTTTTTACTTGACTGGTGAATACACTGCCTGAATGAATGAATTGTTTAAATTGTTTGGGAGTAGTTACAACACAATATATATGTAATGAGTGAAATACATTATGATAACTATTGTAGAAAGAAATGACATTGCATTGTGCAAAACAAACCATGATATACTATATTTTCTGAATTCATAAAATAAATGGAAACAAACTTTTATACATAAATTTTCTGAGAAACTGAAATTTATAACATTGGCAAGAGCAGATTTATATCTATAATTTAAGTAAAAATAAAATAAATCAATATGCTAGAGGTAAAATTTAATTCTTTCACCTATCTAAAATTGAAAAAAAAAATAAAATTAATGTGAAATGCTTTTTATAATTAGTAATGTTCATACCCAGTGGAGAAACTGAAACATCTATTTTGATTTATTCTTTCAGCCTACAACACCTGACAGCTGCAATGATAAAAAAAATGTACATATAAATAGTTTATAAATATATGTATATACATGATTACGTGCAGTCAGACGAATGAAAATTCAAATATTTTATCTCCATTGATACAGAAATTCTACAAATTTACAGCCTAGTAATACAGATGGATAAAAGTTGTAAAAAATAAATTTTAAATATGAAGCACTGGTAAAAACCTGATATCTTAAATTTCATTTATTTTTTATTGGTATTTTTGATTGCCAGAGGTATAAATTAAAATTAATAGGCTCTTGTACTCTTGTATTTACAATGATAAACATTGTGCGCTGTGCAGCAGTTTGACTTCACATATACACTACAAGTGTGACTGCATCTAAATTATTACTTGATATTATGTCATGTGCATTTCATATTATGTAACATATCTATATGCCGAAAGACAACATCATTGTATAAATGAATCAATGATTGAAGCTGTACATGTAAGAAATGAATTATTATAGTAATCCACAGTAATATAGTAATATAAATGAATTAAATCGTTAAGACATTACATAACTTTTGTATCATTGCAGATTTCCAATGCTACACATATTGTTTCAAAAATAAGCTGAATGACAAGAATACTGTCATACACACAAGGCACTACATTACAGTTTGTGACGGACTGTAATAATACATCTTATTGTACATATACACGAGTTTTTTTTTACATTGATGTAAACAATAGTATGTGTACATGTTGATACATATGCGCATACACACCTACATAAATGAACAAAAAGGGACTTAGGGAGGTGGTGCAGATCGTCCCAGTTTTCCATGATTTCCCGAAATAACGTCATCATCTTCTTATCAAAGAGATAAACAACGCTTAGGGCTCTTATTTTATCCATATTCTCTTTAAAGTTTGCCTGCTTGTTGCATTTATCCACTGTATACCTCAGCTCAGCTGCTGTCGCCACGTTTTTAGATGTAAACAACATTCCGTGTCACCGAGTGCAAGCGCTTGGCTGAAGCCGAATGCAGCCAAACGACACCAAAAAAAGGAGAATTATTTCGAAGACGTTTTGTTTTTTTAAAAAGAAAATCACTTATTTTTATTTATCTAAACATGAATATACAGACATTCATTACAAATTCTCGCAATCATCGTTAAATTACTTTTTTGAGCTCTATTTCCTTATATAGTTCTATCAGGATGGAGCAACAGTCATGACGTCAAACCTCATTATGTCCTCATTGCTATATTATCTTCATGTGTAGCCTTAACTGTACTGCGTACACCGTATGCGGCGTTTGACCCAAGAAGAGCGTGCAAAAGCAGTGAGTATTATGTCTGCAGGGGGTTACTTTAAAGATATTTGTATAAAATGAATACAATTAAAAGATAATTCATTTCTCTAGTGAAAAAAATGTTGTAAATAGATTAACAAACATTAAAATGTTTACTATAGATAGCCACGGCATTAAGTAAGCACCACACGACAATTTCAAGATTGTTTCACAAAGGATACAGGCTCTTATCTTTGCTAATGGATATTGCAAATCATAGGCTCTTTAAACCGCCACGTTTTGCAGAAGAAAATACCGTTCATACAACCCATTTGCTCCTTAAACTTCAAAATACCAACAAAGGAATTGATGCAGTTAATATAAGTAATATTCTTAACAACAAAAGGGTCCAAGCTTCTATTCCACCATATTTCATGTTAACTCAACACCTTATATTTCTTATAAATATATATCGACAACTGCTTCCAAACTTTTTAGTTATTAAAAAAAAAACTTCTCTCCAGTTCCTAGATATCGAGCATCGAGCATGTGTTTATGTTCTTTTTCACTCTACAACTATAGTTCTGCTGGACACGTCATTACTGTTGACGTACAAATATTATCTTTGTAAAAGGCCTTCTTCGGACCATAGCGAGCAGCACATCAGGTAAAAACGAAATACATTATGCATAACCACAGGGAAAAAAATAACCGCCCCTGAAAATCTTACATTTCTGTTTTCATAACTTGAAAATGCGTAGACAAATAACCCTTTAAAAGTTTGAAAATAAAGTATATTTTCGGACCGGAATTGATTTAAAAAACACGTCGTAAGTAATGTTACAAGAAACTTTACAAATTCTTAATAAAACACGTTTTTATTTTTAAATAACAAGTTTAGAATAATAAAGCAACTGGCAGTTGTAAACAAATATGGTGATAACGAACAGCAATTTAACCTCAAAAATTCATTGAAACAATACAGATCGGGAGGAAACACAGATCTCTAAAAACATCAAAGGTAGCATCAGGTGCCATTGAGGAGTAAAAATTTCCTGCTGACGTGTCATATTAGCCGTAAATAATTAATGATGCAATGTAACAATTAGGAAATAAGTTATTATGCAATCCTTCATAAAATTGACATGGCTAATCCATTCATGCGTATAAAAGAAATATGAGATTCTCTTACCTTCACTACAAAGTCTGGAAAATCCATTGTGTCCTGCAAAAAGGAATGAGACATGCATCATTTTTACTCTCACATTTTACATTTAGCGAAATAAAACTGAATTGGCGAAAAGCGTTTTTTTTTTTTTTTTTTTTTTTGGTCTTATTGCACTCTCCGTCTTCACATTGTGTCAAATGTTATTCATAGATAGATTTTACATCCGTGTTCTTGAATTTAAGTTAACACACTGATAAGGCGACAGCTATGAGTTAAGTAACCGCTTCATCTCTTGGTAAAAATACTGAAATACAGTAAAACATTCAGTTTCGTAAGGTGACATATTTCTGCCCCTTACATGCAAGATAAATTATGTTAACACACAGCATAGTTATGTAGACATCCGACTTAATTATATCAACATGCAAAATAATTATGTTGACATGCAAGTAACCAATTAAATTTTATAGAGAATCTAATTATATTGGTAAACTTAATTACTTATACTAAGGCTATTATATAACATCATACAAGCAAGCTACAACATGTTATTTTGACATGTTACTTATTTATGTCAACATGCTAGATAATTATGGCTTTCGTAGACAGGCAACTTATTTATGTCAACATGCAAGAGATTCATGTTATCATGCAAGTTAATCATGTCAACATGAGGAATGTGTTTGTTAACATGCATCTTATCATCTTGTATGTTGACATAAATACCTTGCATGTAAAAATATATAACTCGCATGTTGACATGAATAAGTTGCATGTAGACATAAATAAATAACATGTTAACATAAATAAGTTGCATGTTAACATAATCATCTTGCATGTTGACATAAATAAGTCCCATGTCTACATAATTATGTTGCATGTTAAAGTAAATAAGTCGCATTTTGACATAAATATCTTGCATGTTAACATAAATAAGTTGCATGTCAACAAAATTCTGTTGCAGCTTGCTTGTATGATGTCGTATACTGGCGTTAATAAGTACTTTTACCAACATGAAAGTTAAATTCTCAAAAAAAGATTTGTAACTTGCATGTCAACATAATTATTTTTCATGTTGAGATAATTATCATGCATGTTGACATACTTTATTGTATGTAAACATAATTTATCTTGCATGTAGGGGGCAGAAATATGCCACCATAGTTTCGGAAAAGTTTTAATTGAACAGGTAACGGTCAGAAAAATATTTTAGTGAGTTCCATTCAGTATTGAGTTATTCATTTGAAATCACCGTGTTCTACTTAACTTCTCATTCTATTTTTGCCACTGATGACGCAATAAATCCAGTAAAAAATATTATAGCTTTTACTGAGAATTAAATTCAGGCTTATAAAAGGAAGAAATACTTTGTTCAAAATCTTGCAGTTAATTTAGGAGTAGAAATTTATAATCCCTTCCCAAGCATTATGTGTTGTGTTTTCTTTTTTATTTAACGTGAAAGTCTCAGTTTCACTAACTCTCTTACATGTTAGCAACTTTATTTTGATCCCTGATGTATTCTGTTATATTTATTGTACTTCAAGGTCGGACGCTCTGTTTCCATTTCCACCAAGGATTAAAGAAATAAATGTACACATTTTATTGAATTTGTCAGCACCTGATGGGATGGGGTTGGATTAATTAGCTTTTCATAGCTGATGTATAGGCCTTGTATTTAATACATGTTCAAAATATCGTATTTAGAAAAATTGAAGAAGGCGGAGATTTTCAAATGCTTTATTGAATTGTAAAAAAAAATTAGAATGAACCAATTTTAACTTTTTATATTTGAACAATACCATATGGATCATGTTCATTAATTAACAGTTTATTACTACATACATTTTGTACTTTAGTTTCGTTGGCACGATCCTCTGGGTGAATATGTACAATTTGTTAATAGTTTGTCGATAAATAATTATATTGATAACTAAAAGTTTTTTTTTTTTTCAATTGCTTTTCAATTATCTCTGTGCTCTTTCACATCAAAAACATTTTATATTCATGTAGTGTTAATAGCCTCCTTTTTCTCTAATGTTTGGGTTTGATGCCATCTGACATTCTAGAAATTTCCATAAGGATATAAAACTATAAACTAAAGATCGGAAACGATACATGTATGCACATTTTGTTTTACAATCAGTAACCAGAACTCTCTCTCTCTCTCTCTGAATATATATATATATATATATATATATATATATATATATATATATATATATATATATATATATATATATATATATATATATATATATATATATATATACAATAAAATTTAAGTAAAATGTAAGCACTTTCATTATTTCTTCAGACGTTTTACATTCCAAAACAATTCAAACATGTGATGTTGGAATGAAAAACGTCTGAAGCAGTAATGAAAGCGCTTACGTTTTACTAACATTGTTGACATGAACACACAGTTGCTCACAAAAATTACAACTTAGGAAATGGAGATACAGTACCAACCAGACCCACACTGATACCCAAGCAGTCCCAGAAAGCATTCCCAGGGACTGCTCGGGGACCGCTATAGGGCTGCTGTGGGACTGCTATAGGAAGCAGACCTAGCAGTCAAAGCAGTTTTGCGTAACATGATAGCTGCGCGCTATGTGTTCCAAATTTGCAGCTTCTCTGCTGTATTTTTGTTTACTTTCGGCAGAGTGAGGTTTAAAATAAAAATAAAAATAAACAAAGATTTCTTACAAAATTTTTATTAGGAAGAAAAATGGGATATTTATGTATATATTTAAATCGCCGATTTTGGAGGCACAAAGAACACGGTAGGTCTGCAGGTGCTGTAAATTTACACCATAGCAGTCTAGAACTAATACAAACAAGAGGCCCATGGGCCACAACTCACATCTGAGTCACTTTTGCCAAAATGTTATGCGTCAGACTTTTCCCAAACATACATGTTTTCCTCCTTATTTTTGATCACCCTTTGCCCAAATGTATACACAGGAGCCATGATTTGAACAAAAATGGATCTACATTACCAGAACATGCTTGAATATTAATATGATATGATTCCATGTTACAGCCCCACCCTACCCTAGGGGCCATGCATTGAACAATATAGGATTTTTACTACCCCAGGAAACTTCCACCTAAATTTCAGGTTTTCTGGTTCGGTGCTTTGAGAGTTAAAGATTCTTATAGTTTTTTCCCCTACATATTTAAATTTTAAACTTTGATTCCCTATTTTGGACCCACGCCCCCGGGATGAGCCAGGATTTGAACAATTTAGAACCCTCCACATAAGTTTCAGCTTTTATTGTCCAGTGCTTCTTGAGAAGAGGATTTTTAATGACGTAAAGCTATTTATGCCTTTTCTTAATTATCTCCCTTGAAAGGGGACATGGTCCTTCATTTTAACAATTTAGAATACCCTTTACGTAGGGATACTTTGTACCAGTCTTGGTTACATTGGCCCTGTGGTTTCGAGAAAAAAGTTGCAAATGTAAAAAGTTTACAGACAAACGGACAGACGCCGAACACCAGGTGATCAGAAAAGCTCACTTAAGCTTTTAGCTCAGATGAGCTACAGAATTAAAATTGTTTCGGCGGTTAAAAAAGGGAATTCAGGAAATTATTATTATTCCTTAAATTCCACGTAAATACAGATGATTGAAAGAAATTAATCTATTCAATTCATTAACAATTTTACTGTACATAAAGTTTGCATTAGAACTTTTCTAAAAATCGGAATTTGTCATTATAGTTAGATATTCAGAACAACTTACTGCAGTGGATTTTTTTTTTTTTTATTGAAAAAGATAATATAACGCTTAAAAAGAACATCTCATGCTTCATTAACCGCCTCCAAAATAAAACCTAAAAATCAATGAAATGACTATGAAATAAAATTATTCTTTCATTCTACCGTCACAAAAAATGAGAACAATTATTGGTTGATTATTTTATGAAATAAATTTTGAGTTAAAGACAATTATTAAAAGAAAACTTTTATTACAAAAATATAATAAAAAAATGAAAATATCGGGAATCTTGTCTTATTTATTATTTGCTTTTTGTGTGTTTGAGAAATAAGAACTGTATTTGTTGCTTGGTCGACTACTAAAAAGTCATACAAGTCGTATAAAAATATGTCAACGCCTGAGATTTCAATCGCCTCTGGGCATGATTAGCAGAAAATCAACGCGTGATATTTAGGTATCAGTGAGTGTTACACATCACTGCACATCAGGTCAACAATGACACTAATTTCAACCTGTATGCTTCAAAAATCTTTGTTTCAATAAAAATGGTATACATTTATTTCTGGTTTGTAGATTAATATTATTATACCTCTATTAAGAATACTCAAATTTGATTGGCTTGTTAGAAAGCTTTCAAACTAAATAGTGACTCCAAAAAGTACCGTTTACAGCAATAATGACCTAGGAATCATTGCAAGTGGGGTATAATGACCCGGTCCTTATAAATAATGACCGCTAAAAATGACCTGTTAATCTAAATCCCATTCAAATTTTAAAATTAATGGATACAGTAATGACTGTTCATTACAAAAAAATGCCGTTATAAAAATATGTACAGTCTTTTTATGATACGGAATACGATTGTCCTTTAGATGCGTCATAAGATTTATCGTTTTCTTTGAAACTTTCGTTACAATGTCAAATTCAACGAATGCAGACTTGACTCTTTTGTACAGTAAAAGTCAGCACCAGATTGTCATTGTACTCGGAAATGGTATTTGTGAATTTATAAAAATGCATGTTACTGACAATCACAAAATGTTTTAATAAATCGGAGGTGCAAAAACTTACAAGACTTGCAGGCGAAAAGTAAACAACTTCACTAGCGAATCCCGATCCCGATGAAACACTGATAATAACAGTTCGTACGTCTTATACACAATTGATTATTTTAGTAATTAAGCCTACAAAAATTGTCTTAACTTACGCGGCCTAGGTCAGGTCAGGTCACCTCGTGGGCCAGGTCTCGGGTCCTTATCTCACCATGTTGACCTCATAAGGGGTACTTCATTGTTTTATTATACCGATATAAGGGGTAATTAATTGTATAATAAT